TGGATTCTGAATCCAGCGATTCGAGTTCAAATCTCGTTGGTGTCTTTCTCGGAGAGAAAGCGTTCATGAAGGGAGCAATGATGTCACAACAGTGTGTTTAACTCATGTCGACATTGCTCACCAGGGTCATCGTTGGACTTTTTGCAAAGTCCCACCCATTAAATCTGTGTCTGAAGTGTGAGACTTTGTAAAAAAGCAATTGTCCAAGTTTAGCATCAAAGATTTTTGTGAATAACCAGTTCTTCAAATCGCTAAAAAGAATTGAGCGTTGGATGATGGCATAAGTATCAGAAAATGGCAAAAATTACAATCTGCCCAAAACCAAGTACAAGCACATTGTACAGTCTGGCGTCGGAAGAGCGACCCCTGTGGCCAGCTTTCCGGGGTTCCATGGTGTAATGGTTAGCACTCTGGACTCTGAATCCAGCGATCCGAGTTCAAATCTCGGTGGGACCTTCTTGTCTTTGTTGGAGAGATGCATTCATGGGAAACTGTCTGGCCGTTTCTGACTCGCAGAGCCCCACGATAGAGTCAAAAATCGGTCGGCAGAATTTGTGGGCTTGCACTTGATTGTAGATAAAGTCTGCAAAAGTACATTTTGTGACCAAACGCAAATACTTTTGCCGTTGACAAGCGTTTTGTAGCCTATAGTAGCTTACAGGGGTTAGTCACTGCAATGGAGTCAATAGTAACAGCGTAAACGTGGAGTTGAGCAGACAGCTATTAACCTAAATCCAAGAACATGACAAGCTAAGAAAAAAAAAGACTTTTCGTGCCAATCACTAAAGGCTTAATTCTCCTGATAGTTCTGACCTTTGCAGTCATGCACGTTCAACAACATGATGCAATGGAAGTCCCTGTCAATCATATGTGACTGATAATAGAATGTATTTATGCCTGGAAGATTGATGTCACAATAGTGTGTTTACCTCATGTCGACATTTCTCAGCAAGGTCATCGTTGGATTGATTTAAAAAAAAGCCTGCTTGTCAGTGTATTGAGTGCCATAACGCATTACTCGTTTGTGTTGCAAAGTTCAGCAAAGTTCATGGAACCCAGTCAGCTCACTTGGACAGGCACAAAGAAGCATCTTTTGGACGCATTGCGTTTTGAGAGACTACGCCTTGACTGCTCAGCCTTGGTCAATGAATTCCAGTGTAGTTTGAAGTTCTGCCTTGTAATGTGGCTTTTTGTTTTTAAAAGAAGGCAGCCTGGATCAGCGCTACAGTTCACCCGTCCTGCAGCTTGTGGCCCCATGGTGTAATGGTCAGCACTCTGGACTTTGAATCCAGCGATCCGAGTTCAAGTATCGGTGGGACCTGTACTGTGTTGTTCATAAATGTCGACTTCATGCAGTGATTTGGGATTGGAAGAACATCAAAAGCTAAAGAAAATGCGCTTTTGGGGTCAATGACTGAAGCCTTAATTGACTCTTAATTCAGCCTTAATGGATTCTGAATCCAGCGATTCGAGTTCAAATCTCGTTGGTGTCTTTCTCGGAGAGAAAGCGTTCATGAAGGGAGCAATGATGTCACAACAGTGTGTTTAACTCATGTCGACATTGCTCACCAGGGTCATCGTTGGACTTTTTGCAAAGTCCCACCCATTAAATCTGTGTCTGAAGTGTGAGACTTTGTAAAAAAGCAATTGTCCAAGTTTAGCATCAAAGATTTTTGTGAATAACCAGTTCTTCAAATCGCTAAAAAGAATTGAGCGTTGGATGATGGCATAAGTATCAGAAAATGGCAAAAATCACAATCTGCCCAAAACCAAGTACAAGCACATTGTACAGTCTGGCGTCGGAAGAGCGACCCCTGTGGCCAGCTTTCCGGGGTTCCATGGTGTAATGGTTAGCACTCTGGACTCTGAATCCAGCGATCCGAGTTCAAATCTCGGTGGGACCTTCTTGTCTTTGTTGGAGAGATGCATTCATGGGAAACTGTCTGGCCGTTTCTGACTCGCAGAGCCCCACGATAGAGTCAAAAATCGGTCGGCAGAATTTGTGGGCTTGCACTTGATTGTAGATAAAGTCTGCAAAAGTACATTTTGTGACCAAACGCAAATACTTTTGCCATTGACAAGCGTTTTGTAGCCTATAGTAGCTTACAGGGGTTGGTCACTGCAATGGAGTCAATAGTAACAGCGTAAACGTGGAGTTGAGCAGACAGCTATTAACCTGAATCCAAGAACATGACAAGCTAAGAAAAAAAAAGACTTTCCGTGCCAATCACTAAAGGCTTAATTCTCCTGATAGTTCTGACCTTTGCAGTCATGCACGTTCAACAACATGATGCAATGGAAGTCCCTGTCAATCATATGTGACTGATAATAGAATGTATTTATGCCTGGAAGATTGATGTCACAATAGTGTGTTTACCTCATGTCGACATTTCTCAGCAAGGTCATCGTTGGATTGATGAAAAAAGCCTGCTTGTCAGTGTATTGAGTGCCATAACGCATTACTCGTTTGTGTTGGAAAGTTCAGCAAAGTTCATGGAACCCAGTCAGCTCACTTGGACAGGCACAAAGAAGCATCTTTTGGACGCATTGCGTTTTGAGAGACTACGCCTTGACTGCTCAGCCTTGGTCAATGAATTCCAGTGTAGTTTGAAGTTCTGCCTTGTAATGTGGCTTTTTGTTTTTAAAAGAAGGCAGCCTGGATCAGCGCTACAGTTCACCCATACTGCAACTTGTGGCCCCATGGTGTAATGGTCAGCACTCTGGACTTTGAATCCAGCGATCCGAGTTCAAGTCTCGGTGGGACCTGTACTGTGTTGTTCATAAATGTCGACTTCATGCAGTGATTTGGGATTGGAAGAACATCAAAAGCTAAAGAAAATGCACTTTTGGGGTCAATGACTGAAGCCTTAATTGACTCTTAATTCAGCCTTAATGGATTCTGAATCCAGCGATCCGAGTTCAAATCTCGTTGTGTCTTTCTCGGAGAGAAAGCGTTCATGAAGGGAGCAATGATGTCACAAGAGTGTGTTTAACTCATGTCGACATTGCTCAGCAGGGTCATCGTTGGACTTTTTGCAAAGTCCCACCCATTAAATCTGTGTCTGAAGTGTGAGACTTTGTAAAAAAGCAATTGTCCAAGTTTAGCATCAAAGATTTTTGTGAATAACCAGTTCTTCAAATCGCTAAAAAGAATTGAGCGTTGGATGATGGCATAAGTATCAGAAAATGGCAAAAATTACAATCTGCCCAAAACCAAGTACAAGCACATTGAACAGTCTGGCGTCGGAAGAGCGACCCCTGTGGCCAGCTTTCTGGGGCTCCATGGTGTAATGGTTAGCACTCTGGACTCTGAATCCAGCGATCCGAGTTCAAATCTCGGTGGGACCTTCTTATCTTTGTTGGAGAGATGCATTCATGGGAAACTGTCTGGCCGTTTCTGACTCGCAGAGCCCCACGATAGAGTCAAAAATCGGTCGGCAGAATTTGTGGGCTTGCACTTGATTGTAGATAAAGTCTGCAAAAGTACATTTTGTGACCAAACGCAAATACTTTTGCCATTGACAAGCGTTTTGTAGCCTATAGTAGCTTACAGGGGTTGGTCACTGCAATGGAGTCAATAGTAACAGCGTAAACGTGGAGTTGAGCAGACAGCTATTAACCTGAATCCAAGAACATGACAAGCTAAGAAAAAAAAAGACTTTCCGTGCCAATCACTAAAGGCTTAATTCTCCTGATAGTTCTGACCTTTGCAGTCATGCACGTTCAACAACATGATGCAATGGAAGTCCCTGTCAATCATATGTGACTGATAATAGAATGTATTTATGCCTGGAAGATTGATGTCACAATAGTGTGTTTACCTCATGTCGACATTTCTCAGCAAGGTCATCGTTGGATTGATGAAAAAAGCCTGCTTGTCAGTGTATTGAGTGCCATAACGCATTACTCGTTTGTGTTGCAAAGTTCAGCAAAGTTCATGGAACCCAGTCAGCTCACTTGGACAGGCACAAAGAAGCATCTTTTGGACGCATTGCGTTTTGAGAGACTACGCCTTGACTGCTCAGCCTTGGTCAATGAATTCCAGTGTAGTTTGAAGTTCTGCCTTGTAATGTGGCTTTTTGTTTTTAAAAGAAGGCAGCCTGGATCAGCGCTACAGTTCACCCATACTGCAGCTTGTGGCCCCATGGTGTAATGGTCATCACTCTGGACTTTGAATCCAGTGATCCGAGTTCAAATCTCGGTGGGACCTTCTTATCTTTGTTGGAGAGATGCATTCATGGGAAACTGTCTGGCCGTTTCTGACTCGCAGAGCCCCACGATAGAGTCAAAAATCGGTCGGCAGAGTTTGTGGGCTTGCACTTGATTGTAGATAAAGTCTGCAAAAGTACATTTTGTGACCAAACGCAAATACTTTTGCCGTTGACAAGCGTTTTGTAGCCTATAGTAGCTTACAGGGGTTAGTCACTGCAATGGAGTCAATAGTAACAGCGTAAACGTGGAGTTGAGCAGACAGCTATTAACCTAAATCCAAGAACATGACAAGCTAAGAAAAAAAAAGACTTTTCGTGCCAATCACTAAAGGCTTAATTCTCCTGATAGTTCTGACCTTTGCAGTCATGCACGTTCAACAACATGATGCAATGGAAGTCCCTGTCAATCATATGCGACTGATAATAGAATGTATTTATGCCTGGAAGATTGATGTCACAATAGTGTGTTTACCTCATGTCGACATTTCTCAGCAAGGTCATCGTTGGATTGATGAAAAAAGCCTGCTTGTCAGTGTATTGAGTGCCATAACGCATTACTCGTTTGTGTTGCAAAGTTCAGCAAAGTTCATGGAACCCAGTCAGCTCACTTGGACAGGCACAAAGAAGCATCTTTTGGACGCATTGCGTTTTGAGAGACTACGCCTTGACTGCTCAGCCTTGGTCAATGAATTCCAGTGTAGTTTGAAGTTCTGCCTTGTAATGTGGCTTTTTGTTTTTAAAAGAAGGCAGCCTGGATCAGCGCTACAGTTCACCCATACTGCAGCTTGTGGCCCCATGGTGTAATGGTCATCACTCTGGACTTTGAATCCAGTGATCCGAGTTCAAATCTCGGTGGGACCTTCTTATCTTTGTTGGAGAGATGCATTCATGGGAAACTGTCTGGCCGTTTCTGACTCGCAGAGCCCCACGATAGAGTCAAAAATCGGTCGGCAGAATTTGTGGGCTTGCACTTGATTGTAGATAAAGTCTGCAAAAGTACATTTTGTGACCAAACGCAAATACTTTTGCCGTTGACAAGCGTTTTGTAGCCTATAGTAGCTTACAGGGGTTAGTCACTGCAATGGAGTCAATAGTAACAGCGTAAACGTGGAGTTGAGCAGACAGCTATTAACCTAAATCCAAGAACATGACAAGCTAAGAAAAAAAAAGACTTTTCGTGCCAATCACTAAAGGCTTAATTCTCCTGATAGTTCTGACATTTGTAGTCATGCACGTTCAACACCTTGAACTACAAATAATCTTACAAATAAATAATCTTGATATTGCTGCAGTTTCAGAAACTTGGTTTACTAAACACCATCCGCAAGGCCTTCACCAAATTGGTGGATATATGCAATACTCAAGAATGCCCATCGATAGACGTGGCAGAGGAGTCTCTGTTTATATCAAGGAGAGTATACCTTCTTGCCAGTTTACTGACATAAAAGTTCCAGTAGACTTTAAGAAACAACTGATTTCATTAGATCTGAGTATCCAAATATTGTCATTGTTTTACTAGGGGACTTTAATAGACTTGACATCAATTCACTGTGTAAAGGAAATGATCTATCCCAAGTGGTTAAGGAAAGCACAAGGGGAGATGCAATACTAGATCTCATAATTACTGACTTGGCCTCATATTACAAACCACCCCGGGTCCTACCGCTAGTGGGGTCGAGTGACCATAATTCAGTACTATGGACATCTAAAAAAATTGACAAGATGGACAAATGTATCAAGATCAAATAACACCAGATGAGACCTAGAAATATGGTTCAATTTGGAAGGTGGATTATGTGACCACACATTGAAAGAGATTTATGAGGCCCATGACACAGTGTCCAAAGCTAGTGCCTTCTATCGAAATAAAGTCTAGAGAGCCATCGGTAACGCAAAAAAGGGGTTTTACTCCACACAGGTTTCCTACGTTAAGAATGAAAACTCAAAACATTAATATAATGAGATTCGGTCTATGGCAGGGATGAAGAAAATAACCGTAAAGATTCACATTCCGGCATGTAAATCAGACAACAATAAAGCCATTGCTGACTTTATTAATCAGTCCTTCTCTCATATCAGCCAGTCGCAGCCTTCATTAGAAGTGTCAGCTTTACCTGCTTTTCTACCTTCTCCAAAAAGTTTTCCCTTGGTCTATCCATGGGAGGTGTGTGACAAATTGAAAGTAGTTAAAACTAAGAAAGCTCCTGGTCCTGATGGAATACCTCAGAGAGTGTTAAGGGACTTTTCATATGAACTCAGTGATCCTTTATGTGATATTGTGGGATTGTGTCTTCATTGTGTCTTGATGGATTGTGCCTTCACAGTGGAAAGAAGCAAACATTATTCTGATTCCTAAACCTTAACCCTCAACAGCAAATCAACTGCGACCAATATCACTAACTCCTCAGCTCAGTAAAATAAGAGTTTGTTGCAACCTGGGTTAAAAAAGATATAACCCCAAATCTTGAGCGCTACTCATGCATTAGTCAGTATCCTTCACACCTTATATAAAGCCTCTGATATTCCATCGACTACTAGGACTTTTATCAGTACTGACTTTTCAAAAGCTTTTAATAAAGTGGAGTTAGGAGTCAGGCCTGCTTTAATGCCTTGGCTCTGTAGCTTTATGTCTGCTCGTCGGCAAAGAGTTGCTACTCTGATTGGCAAGAGCTTACTGGGGGAGTGGCACGAGGTACATTACTGAGGCCTCTTATCTTCCTAGCCCTTGTAAAGTGCCATCAATTTTGAAAATCGCTGGAAGTTTGTGGACGATTCAAACCTTATCCAGATGTGTAGAGGTCACAATGTAAGACTTCCTTTCTTGAGAAGATTAAGAAAAACCTGATGGAAAAGACTGATTAAAACATTGGCTGACTAGAGAGCTTGGAGCCTTCCTAAAAATGTAATATAGGGGAGCAGACTATGGACTGTATGCATTGGACTCTCTGATGGGGTGAACTTCTGACCTCACAGAAGAGAGTTGTACCAGATGACAGTTTAAGTTATACCTGAGGTTAACTTTTGTACGTATATGGAGAGCTGTGCAAGAAGGCCCTGTAAGGAGGGAACAGCCTTGTAAGAGTCAGACCAGAGTGGGTTTTAAAAAAAAAGACATCATATGAGTTTGATTTGAAATGTTACCAAAAAGGTGTAACGTTTGGATATGATGGGGACAAAAATGATATGAAATTGTGTAAAAGGGGTGGGGAGAGTACCTCATCACCCCAGATGGGAATAAAAAGGGATGTTTTGAGATGACATTCACATTGTGATTGACCGGGAACCATCTTGCCATTTGATGCACAATAAAGCGAAGGCCTTTTCCTTCCTTCCACAAGAATTCATTTTCATTGATATTCTTTGATTCTTTTAATTCTTATTGAAGACTTTAGATTATAGATCATTATTAGGACAATAGTATAGACAATATTAGAGTTATATTAGACTTATAAATGTCCAGACCCTGGGCAAAAGAGATAGCTTTGGCTGTGACAAACAAGAGTGGCAATCTCTGACCTAACTTTGATATACACAGGTTATATTCACCCCATACTAGAGTACACCTGCCAAGCATGGCATGGAAACCTGACACAGTATCCGTCAAACCAGATTGAGACTTTTGAGAAACGTGCATGCCAAATTATCATCGGCAGGTCTTCAAGCTCTCGCATTACCAACCCTTAAAGAGAGAAGAGACACATTGTGTAGACGGTTTGCCTTTAATATCCACAATTCCTCTTTCAGAGAGTGGCTACCACCTTCAAGAGGCCAGATATCAGACTGGAAAACCAGAGACAGTTATAAACTACAGATTCCAAAAATGAGAACTAATAGGTTCCGAAAGTCACCAATTACCTTTTTAACAAGAATATTAAATGAAGATTTATAGAATGGTTTGCATCTCTATGAGGAATATATTGTTGTATTTATCTATTTTTTTCCTTTCTTTTATAAATGTATAAGTAGGCATTGTAAATACTCAGTTTTGCTTTCTGTAAAACTGCAAAATGAGTGTGAAATAAATAAATAAAAAGAGTGTTGTCTGCTATAGTAGCTTACAGATGTTGTTCACTGCAATAGAGACAATAGAGTGATTCCCCTTTAGCCCTCTACTCACTTATGGCTGCTCTACTGGTCTTACGGAGAGCATAGCTGGCTTTTTTATACTCATCTGTGTTTCCTGATTTAAAAGCAGCGGTACACGCATTCAGAGCTGCACGAACAGTTGAGCCATGGCTTCTGATTGGGTTAAACGTGGACTGTTTTTGTGGGCACAACATCCTCTATGGACTTTCTGATGAATCTGGTAACAGAGTCTGCATATTCGTCAATGTTGTTGTTTGACGCTCCAGGAACATCTCTCTGATGGTGGGCGGTACCCTTTTCAGCTTCTGCCTATAGGTGGGCAGGAGCAGAATGGAGAAGTGATCCAATTTGCCAAATAGAGCAACTTCCCTCTTTGGGGTTCCCAAACAATGAATCTGCGTTAAGGAATTCAAAGTCTGGTTTTTAGTGAGTCATCATCGATGTGATTTCCAAAAGTGTTTGTCCGTTGTAAACGAAGATGCTGGCAACATTTAGTGTAAAAGTAGTTACAAATAAACACACAATTAACAAAATCTAAAATGACTGAAGGGAGCTCGCAACATGGCAGCCATACTCTGCGCCTTCATGGCAATGTTAATGTTGTGTATAATGTTGTTGATGTGTCTTCACATGAACAATGCAATATGTTTCAGTTAATTAATTAATTTTTTCCTTTGCATTTTTGTTATGCAAACGAGTTGGGACCTGTATGCTTACAAACACTAGCTTGAGAGACAACAGTGTGTTTATGTCAACATTGCTCAGCAGGGTCATTGTTGGACTGACTCATTGCATGACATCACAGTAGCTAGGCCTTCACGCCAACATTATACAGCATGGAGAGCTTCGGACTGAAGATGGAAAAGCTATTTCTTGTGGCTCCATTGTATAGTGGTTAGAATTTTTGTCTCCAAAACCACCGATCCGAGTTCAAATCTCAGTGAGACCTTCTCAAATATCATGGAGGGTCGCAAACAAGTAGTCCAGATTTCTTGCCATGCCCCGACTCTGTAGGCTAGCATTTTCTTCTAAGTAAATACTGTGAAAATGCATTGTGTGTCTGCTCACTGAGTATGAATGAACCGAGCATAATTTCAACTGCTGTTTTGTAGTCCCACTTTTTGTTTAAAATCAGCATGAGTCAGGTGACATAGCGTTAAAATGATGACATAAAGACACCCGCCCTTTCAGTGGTTCAGCTTACACCAAACTGGTCATGTTTGGTGTAAGTGTAATGTTCAGCAATATCGACTTTGAAACCAGCGATCAGAGTTGGAACCTTCCCAGCTTAATTTGACAATCATGCACACGTGTCATACCAGCGTGACTGCACTCATAGATTATACTGCAATATATGAGACAAAGACACAGAGGTCCCCAATACACTACAAATACAATCAAGATAGCTCTTTCCATTTGCATGTCATCCATTGCGTTTGCCTTTTTCTGGTTCAGTTTGCATATTAACAGCTGTGTAGAGATACCTTCACTATTGTCTCATTATAGTGTCTGTCATCAAATATTGTCTGTATTTTCATAGCAAAAGTAATGTAAAATAGAAAAGTAGTAGCCAAATCATCTAAAACTGAACAGGATGAAATGATCCTTCCACTGTGAGAGAACAATTCAATACTATGTGTTTAAAAACATGTGCAAATCAAACAAAAACAACGGATTGGCTAGCCCAGAGGCCAGATTTTACTATCATTGAATGTCCAGGGCTTACTTGGATCATGAGAAGGAGAAAATGAACCCAATTTCCGAAACTGAACCTT